TATTTTGGATGCGATTAATCACGATTAATTGTTTGACAGCCCTAATATACAGGTATATATATTTATTTATACAGTGTATATTATATATAAAAATAAAAAAATATATTTTACATATAAATAATATTTTTTTCCTTAAATATACACATGAATATGTGCATATTTATATATACTGTACAAAATAATTATCCACAGTATACACACATATATCATGTAAATACAAACTTTTATTTTGGATGAGATTATTCACGATTAATGATCAGTTTCACAGCTCTAGATTTAATACAGAGAAGATGACAAAGCAAGCAAGCCTTTACCTCTGACTATGAGCCCAGCGAAGTTGGAGACGCCGGAGCCTCTCTCTGATTGGGTGACGCAGCGGTACAGGTCTTGGTCCTGGCTGGTCACCTCGCGCAGTCTAAAGGAGGCCGCAAACTTCCTGTGGTTGATGTTCTTCTTCTCCGCCACTGGAATGTCCTCTCCGTTACGCCGCTACACACGTCGGCAGAGCAAGAGAGGTGGAAGATCAAATTGATTGGTTGAATTCAGTCATTTCCTCCTCATTATAATGGCTTCAGATGTCATGATTCACCCAATGTGTGTCAAAGCTCATAATGTTCCATGTACTTAAACTTGAGTTCACCGATGCCTTGGGATACGGATTTATGGTTGTTTATTGTAGAAGTAAGTTTAAGTTTACTGTAAAGAAACTGTACTAAGCTAAAGTTTTTTTTTTTATTCCATCAAACATATATATTACAAAATAATCTGGACCAATAATCAAAGCCATACGCCTAACCACGTTGAGTTCCACATTTGAAGTTGATATCACAAAAATGAAGCCTCTTTTAAAGGATTAGTTCACTTTTGAAAAAACTTTTGCTGATGATTTACTCACCCCCATGTCATCCAAGATGTCCATGTCTTTCTTTCCTCAGTCGAAAAGAAATTAAGGTTTTTGATGAAAACATTCCAGGATTTTCCTCCATATAATGGACTTCAATGGGAACCAAACGGTCGGGGGTCCAAAAGACAGTTAATAACAGTTTCAGATGCAGCTTCAAATGTCTTTAAACGACACCAGACGATGAATAAGGGTCTTATCATGCGAAACGATCGGTTATTTCAAAACTTATTCCAAAAATGTAACTTTTCTAAGGACAAATGCTAGCCTTGCTCTATTCTGTGAGGCGCGTTTGCAACGTCACGTATTACGTAATTACGTTCAAAAGGTCACGGGCGACGTAGCCGAAAGTACAGAGTCAGTGTTTACAAGTTGAACGCATAGGTTGAACGTGAAAACTAACTCAAACGCCGTTTACAAAAAAAGGAATTAAAAGGAAAAACAACGATGTCGGACGATTTTGATTCTGTACTTCCGGCTACGTCGCCCGTGACCTTTTGAACGTAATTACGTAATACGTGACGTTGCAAACGCGCCTCACAGAATAGAGCAAGGCTAGCATTTGTCCTTAGAAAAGTTACATTTTTGGAATAAGTTTTGAAATAAGCGATCGTTTCGCATGATAAGACCCTTATTCATCGTCTGGTGTCGTTTAAAGACATTTGAAGCTGCATCTGAAACTGTTAATAACTGTCGTTTGGACCTTGAACCATCCGGTTCCCATTGAAGTCCATTATATGGAGAAAAATCCTGGAATGTTTTCATCAAAAACCTTAATTTCTTTTCGACTGAAGAAAGAAAGACATGGACATCTTGGATGACATGGGGGTGAGTAAATTATCAGCAAAAGTTTTTTTCAAAAGTGAACTACTCCTTTAAAGTAAAATCTCCTTTATAATGCAGCAGGGGTGTTTTTTCAGGATGAATTTTGATTGAGTAGTCTTCCCTTCCAGTTCTTCCAGTTTCTCCAGTCTTACGTAATTTACAGTTTTTACTGGAGTTAGCACATGTAGCGTGTCTAACTACGCCACCGTAATGAGGTGCTACTCCCGGGTTTGGGACTGAGCGTTCAGGCTTGCTCTGGTGGGATGAAGCTCCTGTAATCTGGCCGTCAGTGTCACAGGCGATCTGTGTGAGTGAAGTGTGTGTGCGACAGAGGATCATTCATTAGCCCCTTTAACACTGACATCTCCTATTAGTCAGAAGACACCAGCACTTGCTTGCTTTCCCTCATTTCTTCACCTCCTCGTGTATCCGAGCAGAAAAGGTCACTTTTCCTACACACTGTCTTTCAATCCTCTCTGCATGTGAAGCCCTCTCATTAGTTAATCACAATCACAGGGCTTCACCTCGACGCACACACACGAAAGCCCTGCTGACACACACATCATTAGGAGAGCGGGATGTTCCTTCGGGATGAATAAAGTGATTTGAGGAGACTCTCTCTCTGTGACAGGCCTGGCTGAGATCAACTCTCTCTCGCTGCTTGATTAGTACGTGTGCTTATATATACACCCGTTGACCATGAATATGCAATATAGTTTCCACAAATGATGCAATTCTTTGAGTACGGGTGACAACGGACTTGAAAACAGCCGAATTGTTTGCTCCCGCACATCCTGAACTTGACATTCCCCGCCAATTAGGGTGAATCCTATCTCTGATCTGAAGCACGACTGCAGTCTTAGTTCAGTGGTCCTCACCCCCAAAACCACTGCAGAAATATCACTCAAATCTAAAAAAAATGAAGAGTTCAGATGCAAAAGCCTCTAAATGCCATTTGAAATTTTCTTCTAGAATGATGATTTTTATCAAGCTTGTATATTTAAGTTCAGTGATTTCACTTAAATGGCAATGATAATTACCTATTAATTGTTATTTAAGTGAAATTACTGAAATTAAATATACAAGTTTGATAAAAATCGTCATTAAAGAAGAAAATTTTAAATGGCATTTAGAGGCTTTTGCATCTGAACTCTTCAAATATATATGAATGAAATAAAAGACTACTTAAGTGCGTTTATAGAGAGACACTTCCATGACTTCCATGTTCTTGACATCAACGCACTCTTGTAATAATGTCAAGTTAAAGTTTTACGTTTACGTTTTAATCATTTTTGTCATGCTTTATAGAAGTTCATCTATTTTTGGAAAGTACCTGATTATTATGTGAACTGTATGCAGTATTGAATTTCAAGCTATTATATTTTAAATAGGGATGCACGATATATCGGCCAGCATATCGGTATCGGCCGATATATGTTCATTTTTAATGTTATCGTTATCGGCCTGGTAAGAAAATGTGGCCGATATATTAAAGCCGATAAATAATGTATTATTCACACTTGTTGAGCACTGTTTATGTTTTTGAATTTCTTGAAATATGATTGAAATCTCTTCAAAAAATTAAAATCTGGTTCGGGACAACATGTGCAACGCAAATCTGTCATATCGGCTATACAACACTATAATGAGAACATCATTATAATCGTGCGCTTGGGACATGGATTTAATTGCGAGACTTTTGTTTTTGTAATCAGGCTCACAAAATTAGATAAAAAATCGATATATCGGTTATCGGCTTTCAAATATAAAGAATTATCGGTTATCGGCTTTCAAATATAAAGAATTATCGGTTATCGGTATCGGCCAAAATTTTCATATCGGTGCATCCCTAATTTTAAATGTATAAAATATCAACTTCATGTGCCATTACAAATATAGGTTTCAATAGAAATGACTTTAAAGTAAGCTTTACACAAATGCATGTCAGTAATTAAACCATATTTCAAAGACAATAGAAGTAATTATGAAATTATATACAAGTGGGTAAAAAAGCTAATTTCATTTAATACAAATTTAAGCCATAATGCATTTTCATTTAATGCATTACATACTAAACATTCATTATACTGTTTTAAAGTGCATGTTCTAGTAATGAGTACTCTCTTTGAAAAGCATGCTTAAGTTGGTGTTGATGTGTCGGGCTGAGGATGCAGTGTCAGTGTGTGTTCTCGGTGCCCACCTGCAGCCAGAGCTTGTTGTTGACCGCGTCCCGGACCGTGGCGATGCACTGGAACGTGGCGTTCTGTCCGGCATTCACCTCCACGTCCCCCAGACGCAGGAAGTGAGGGGATTTATCTGCAAGGGAGGAAGAGACAGCAACGCAGGACATTACAACTCTCAAATACCAGAATACTCAACTAGTGCTGAACATTTCCAATACACAAGGCAATACATAAAGATGTACACACAGCGTTCAACACACTGATGGTTACAGGCGATAGTAATGGCCTATTAATGGGGTGATACGGCAAGGTGGTTAAAGGTTTGAGGTAGGGTATAAACATGAGGTATTATATAATATTACATTTAATTGAAATTTCATAAATCTTATGACAATTTTCAAAATCACATAAAAAATGAATACGACATAAGTAAAAAAAAAAAAAAAAGGTTTTCCTTTTCAACCATTCATTTGGTTCAGAGAATCCCCTGTTGATCGGGCCGAGCCCCAAAACACACTTGTAGGTAGTACAAGGCGTGTCTATTCATGAGGGGGGAGGAGCCTGTTCTCCATAGCATGTTTTTTTTTATTGGGGGCGGGGCTATCAAGATAAGGGTGTGGTCCTTTTTGGTAGGGGTGTGTTTATTTTGGTGATGAACAGCGTTTCTCAGAAATCACTCACTGCACCTTTAAGGCAGAAACAACTGTGTTTATATACTGACGCTCTGTATGAGAAGCAGTGTTTCAGGTGTGAGTGCTGAAAAGCGTCTCAGACACCGCATATACCGATATGAGTCCTCTCTTGCTGATTATTACGCTTGAACAGTTGAACAGTGACTGCAAGGCTTAAAAATGCATACAAGCTCTCCATCCTGACCCTAACCTACCCTTCCATCTACCTACCCTGCCACCCATCCATCCATCCACCCTCCAATCCATTCATCCACCCATCCATCCACCCACCCATCACCCCCATCCATCCACCCACCAATCCATCCATCCATCCATCCATCCACCCCCATCCACCCATCCATCAATCCACCCACCAATCCATTAATCCATCCACACCAATCCATCCATCCACCCACCCAC